TAAAGCCTGTGGCTGGGCAGAGAGGGGGCACTTCCTGGTCTGGGAAACGCACAAAGAAACTGCAAAAAGAACAGGAGTACTTGTGGCACCTTAGAAACTAACAAATTTATTTGAGCATAAGCTTTGGTGGGCTACAGCCCACTTCTTCTATGCATCTGAAGAAGTGGGCTGGAGCCCACGAAAGCTTATGCTCAAATAAATTTGTTAGTCTCTAAGGTGCCACAAGTACTCCTGTTCTTTTTGCGGATACAGACTAACACGGCTGGTACTCTGAAACCTGTCAAAGAAACTGGACTCCTCCCTTATGCTCTTGTGGGAAGATCCATCTGCCCCAGCCAAGTAGAGGACTTTACCTTTAAAGAAACTGCTGATGGAGTAAGAGGAGGCTTGCTTGGGGAGAGCTGGATGGGAAGAAGAGCCCTTCTGTAGGCCTGAGTCTCTCCCTTCAGGAGCGTTAGAGCTGCTGGAGGCAGTCTCTTTGATGGACCAGGAAATACCTATGGAGAGAGAACAACCCTTGTAACTCAACGAGAAGACATAAAACCAAAGACTTTAATGAAAAATTTTAGAGTGGAAGAAGCCTATTAACTCGTGTCCTCATCAATTTTAGTTTGGGAACATTCTGCACATTGTCCCTCCGTATTTACCTCCCTGTATCAACTGGATACAGTACTCAGCGCATAGCTTCCTAAACTTGAACTTGTGTAGTGCTAAAGTTTAAGCAACTGCCTGTTCCCCCTCAGAAATGGCTGCATTTCAGTGGTGTTTATGGCTACAGCTTGTATAAATATTACAGAAGATCACTTATACGACACAGTACATTTAAATGGTGCTGTATGAGGTGTGCCACATTCTCTGCTCCAAAGAGCTTACAATGGAAAATACAAAACTAGATACCGGATCCTTTGGTTTCTCTGGACTAGGGAAATGTAAGATATTCCCTTCCAGGCACTACAGCGCTGAGATAACTTTGATGTCTGCGGAGGACCGGCAAGTAGTGTGACAAACCATAGATGGGGGCGATAACTTGTTCAGCTTTGCTCCCTGTTGCTCTAGGCACAGCAGGCAGCCTCTTTCTCTCTCTCTCCACACAGCCGCACCCTAACCCCACCACAAACACAAGCTTTTGAACAACTGGCACAGCAGAAGAACAGTGAGCCAGACTCTGATAGTGGGTGGTGGGGTGAAGAGGCTGACTGGGGAGGTGAACAGGAGACACAAGCAAGAAGAGCAGCTGCAGTGCAAGATGAGAAGTGCTGACTCAGTGAAAAGAACTAGCTGCAGTGTGGTGGGAGCACGGCAACCCTTTGATCTCTCAGGTAATAAGAATAAGGCAGGGGGATCCATGCACAACGTTTAAGTTCACTGGGTTGGTCCAAACCTGAGGACACGGCTATATCCAAGCTTCTTCTTAACAGGAACCGGTGCTCCTACACCCCACACCTTGCAGAGCTCCCACCCCTGCCCATAGCTTGGCAAGGACTAAACGGTTACTGTGGTGACCTTTAGGGTATACGGACCTTGCTTCCAAACAACCCTGCCTCACCTCATCCCTTTCCTGTTCTCAGAAGAATGAAATCTCTTCTTTCCCAGGCATGTTGCTAGCCATCCCTGCCAACCTCCTTTATCGAAGATGCCACAGCACCTAGCATCGTAGGTTTGGGAAATTTTTAATTATTACACTTCAATTGTCTGCGCAGTGCCACGAGTGTGTTGATCTGGTGGATGGGGGGACGGGACACAGGGAGCAGATTATACTAAAATTATCAATATTAACTAGGGTTGCGCATTTTAGTGGTCCAAAAAATTGGTCAATTGACCAATCAAATATTGGCTCAATATTGCCAAATAATGTCAAAAATGGTCAAACATTTTAAAGCACTAATTTATCAGAACAGTAACAAAACAGTAAAACTTTATGGTCTCCAACAGGTTTAGCTTTAAATAGATAATTATGCCAAATTACAAAAAAAAAGTTGCTTAACGGAGTTATTTTAACTCAGAAAAACACAAAAACACAATCTAATGAAATTCTAAGAAATGAAAGAATGGCACCATTATGCAATCAAAAAGATAGGTTACCACCTACACCAGGGCATTTTTAGTGGAAATTTGACCATGGTGAAATAATAGTCAATTGACATTATTTGATCAGTCAATTGACCGGCTTGCCATGCCTGATATTAACTAACCAAGAAGAGGACTCTCAGCATTAAGGAATCTGACAACCTCAAAATACTGTAGGATTATCCCCAGGACTGCTCCAAGGAGCAAGTTTTGTCTGCACTTCGATCTCTGCTATTCCCTATAACAATCCAGGAGTCATGACCCCCAAAGGATGTGGACAGCAGCTGTCAGAGGGTCATAACCCAGCTCCCATTCGGTCTCCAACTGTTCACCTGAAATGGATTGGTTCAACTGCTTGCAGCTGAAACTTGTACCTCAAACACCCCATCAGCCCATCAATCATCACGCTGAAGCTTGTAGCATCTCCAACAAAGTCCTGCAGGAACTGGCATAAAAGATTTTTGGAGAAACGGGTTTCAAGTGTGGGAGAGCGTAACAGGTTGTCAGTCATACTTCTGGCAGTTCCTTCACCTAAGCTTGGTGGATGCCAGGCATGGATAAAGTCTATGATGGCCTGTGCTGAATATTGGGAGAGGGAGAGTGGAACTCCCTCCACTTGTATAAATGGAAAGAGTACAAAAGGAGACATCTGGGGACCTCATCTCATTCTCTTTCTAATGGGCACAGGCAGATACAAGTTTACATGAAAGAATCTGAAGCTGGAGGATTAGACTCAGATCCCAGAATTCCTGGGGAAGGGATCTGACTCTGGAGTAAGAAAAGTAGCTGCACAGCTCAAGTCCAGACCGGAATGTTTTAATACGCTTTCCCTACCCAACATAACTTTCAGATACCCCTGCACTTACTGCCCACTGGCTCTCCACTCCAGCTGAACTTCTCAAGGTCGTCATCATCATCTACAATGTCTCGAAGGCTGTTCACTGCCCGCTTGGACTCCTTTAGCTATGGACAAACACAAGGCTAGCAATGAAGACCATATCTGTTCCACTCAGGTAGCCTGAGGCTTTCCTGGACCCACTCCCATCCAAACAAACCTTTTGCACATGCCTTTCCCAGCCCACACAGAGCTGAAAGACCAGTGGAAGATGTTCCACACTTCTGCACAAGGCAATTGGCCAACAATCAGCCCCTTTTCACCCAGTATATGGAATTTGAGGACTATGAACATCTGAGTGATCAGTTATAAATACCTCAAACTAGTAGGAGATGCAGGTGGGGAATCATTGGAAAGGTCATTTACCCTCAATTTATTATGAGGTTTCAGATTTGCCCTACAGAACTGATGCCAAGAGACCTTAAGGATATCCACACAGATAATTAGAAGATAAAGAACAAAGAATTATCTGTCTTATCTCTTATTTGCCCAGCAAGACTAAGTCAGTGAGTAGAGCTCATTAAAAGGTTAATTCTGAAATTTTCAATTAATATAGTAGTGCCAAGCACAGGTGCCTGCTTGATAGTTCTGAAGACCTCTGTTTATCCTCAGGAACTCTAGGGCAAGAGGGAATTCAGTTTCCCTGATCCAGTTTGCTAAAATGGCCATGAAGGGGACCAAATCTACTACGAGTCTACTCGCACAACAACAGACACAAATCTAATAGAAAAATGAACTGAGGTCCAACAACTCCCTTGGTTATTTTTAAAAAGAAAAATATACCGTATTTTTGGTGTTTTCTACTTATTTCCCCTCCCAGGAACATTACACAGATCCTCCAAGATTTATAGAGAAATTGAGGAAGAATGCAGGAACCAACATTTTATGCCCTTCAGACTCCCTGTTCCTTCTCATGGGTCTTCTGCAGCTTCTTTCAAGCAGAGGGGGGAAAGGAGTTAACTGTATGCAGGGGAGCCCTTAAGCAGCTGGATTTCTCCATTCTCCAATCTTTTGGAAGAAAGAGATGAGTCTCTAAGGTTTTTATCAATCCATGCAGTCTGAAGATTATACCTGGGAGAGCTCATCATCTTCATCATCAAATGTGAAGGCTTTACACTTGGAGCTGTGCCAATACTCCTCCTCGTCAACTTTCATCCTGTTCATCTGGAAAAGTAGCCAAAGAGAAACACACGTGCTAAGCGACAGGCAAATCTCCCCAGGCTGGATCAGAACCAGCACTTCAGGGCCTAGGCCCTACAAGGGAGGGCCCTTGGGTCACTCCACTTCAGGGGACTGCAGCGCCTGACCAGGGAAAGAGGGTGGCCCCACAGGGCCGGCCAGAGGAGAAGGGAATCGTGGGAAGCGAGGCTGTGGCGGATCAGATCAGCCCCTGGCCCGGCAGGTCAATAACCCGACCGGCACGGGGGGACCGGCTGCGCCAGAGGGCAGATACCGGGGCCCCTGCTCGGCCGGCCGTGCCGGGCTGTCTTGGCCCTCCAAGGCCGGGGCAACGGCACCAGCGGGGCCCGGAGCAGCCGCGTAGCGACTGTGAGCGGCAGGGCCAAGCAGGCCCCGCCCGGCACAGAGGGAAGGGGCTTGGGGCCGCCCCCAGGACACAGGTGCTCACCGCCCCTGCAGCCAGCCCGACTGCCCTGAGAGTGCCGCCGCCCTCCTCCCCGGGATTGAGGGGGAGGGAAACTGTTGGCTCCGCGCAAAGCACCATGGGATGTGTAGTTTCCGCCTTCCCGTCTCATCCACGCCGCCCTCTGCCTTGTTCCCGGGGCCTCGGTCCGCGGAGATTTGGACTACGAGTCCCAACAGGCCTCGCGAGAAACGGGGTTGGCTTTGACATCCCGCTACCCATCGGCGGCGGAGCTAAAATTATTCCGCCACAATTGGCGGAAGGCGCAGAGCTCTGAGGGCCGGCGGGCGCTCGCAGCGGGGGACGCTGTGTCGATAGCGACACGGCCAGACGCAGCGGGAGGGAGAACTCTCCGCGCGCCCCGACCGAGCCGGAACCAAAGTGTCGGGGTCCCGCCCCGGTCGGACCTTGTCGCGGGACCGGAAGGAGTGTGTGCCGGCGGCGGAAGCCGGGAGGCGGCTGCCGGCGGTTCTAGTAGGTTCCAGAGGCGGGCGGTGCGGAGGAGCCGGGCTCGGCGGCGGCGCGTCCGGAGGCTCCGATGGCCAAGTGGGGGGAGGGCGACCCGCGCTGGATCGTGGAGCAGCGGGCGGACGCCACCAATGTGAACAACTGGCACTGGTGAGAGGCGGGCGCGGGGCGCGGGCCTGGCTACATCGGGCCGGGCGCAGGAGGCTGCTCCATCTCGGCAGCGAGCGCTGCCTGAGGACGCGGTAACGGGCCAGTCCGTGCGGGGGGAGCTGCTCCCGAGCGTGGGGACCCTGCCTGGGGGCAGCCCCGCACCTGCCCCTCCGCGTGCACAAGGCCCCTGCTCAGGGGAGCCCAATGCCTCGGACCCGGCCAGCGTTTGGGGGCACGACAAGGGTCGTCCCTGAGAGCGGCCTGACCCATCGGTCACGGGGTGTGAGCATCTTGTCCCGACCCCTTCCCCCGTGCATCCGCCCTAATGTTGGGAGAGTCGGGTGGGTGCGTGGCCGGGTGGGAGAAGGGAAGGGACCAGATCTCCGCAGCAGCAGGCTAAGTGAAGGGAGCACGGGATGATGCGTCGGACATCGCATCAGAGACCGTTCTCGGTGTAGGGAGGATAACGTGGACAGAGATTGGGTGGGGAGCGCAAAAGCAATATTTCAGAAATATTAATTGTGTTCAAGCAGCGACACACACCAAAAGCCAGTTATTAGCCATTGTTGCAGTCCATTTTCCAAAGTACTCTTACACCACTTTGATCTTTACAGGACTGAACGGGATGCTTCTAATTGGTCTACAGAGAAGCTGAAAGGTCTGTTTCTGGAGGTGAGAGTAGAGAATGAGGAGGGGGCCTGTGAAGTGACAGAAGTGAGTAAACTGGATGGAGAAGCATCCATCAACAACCGCAAAGGGAAGCTAATATTTTTCTACGAGTGGAATATCAAGCTCTCATGGACAGGTGAGTTATAGTCTCTGTTTTCTCTCAGGGCAAGGGTCTAGCACAGGGTTATGGACAGTGTTTTCCAAGGCTTTCCCAAAAGGGGGTCAGCGGAAAGTCACTTTTCTGAAAAATGATATAAGGTTGCCCCTCTGCAGCAGTCAGAGCAAGGAAAGCTGAACCGAACAAGCCTTTTTAATCAGAGTATAATTGCTCTCTACAGGCACCTCAAAGTCGGGAGTGAAGTATAAGGGGCATGTGGAGATTCCCAACCTCTCGGATGAAAATGATGTTGATGAAGTTGAGGTAAGCACAGTTATGGCTAATACTGCTGACTGTGCCACTTCATTACCAAAGGGTCTCAAAGCACAAAATATTCCCAGCTTAACTCTCTAAAGCAGCCGTATAAGGATGTAGCCCATCATTGTTCTTTGGTAGACCACCTGGGTTTATCCTGCACCTCTACCAGATAAGCAGCATATGTTTTAGCTTAAAGGGATCTGGTTTTCAGTGCTGATTTTGGTCAGAAGTGGAGCCATAGCAGCTATAGACATTTGAATAGGTGCGGAAGTTACTGTGAACTGGTAGCACATGAGGCAACGAGTTATAACAAAGGTATTAAAGCTTCTTCATAACTTCCTCTGGAAATGCTTTCCAGGCTGAAGCATTAGTTATGATGCTAAATCCCGTCTTAAAAGGACCATGTGACTGTGGTTTTGTTCACCAGGCCTTTGTCTGTTTTGCTTAGATCTCCATCAGCCTTGCCAAAGATGAGCCTGACACCAACTTAATGGTCTTGATGAAGCAAGAGGGCATGAAAAAGATCAGGAATGCAATGAGCACTTACATCAGCACGCTCAAAACAGGTACATAACGGTGAGGGAGAAACCCCCTTGCAGCTGCTAAATAGCAGCTGAGGTGGAAGCAACTCTCCCCATAGTTCTTCAGTGGGAGAAGCGGGAAGCTACAGCAATAGTTACCTTTTCATTGCTGCACTGGAATCAGATGACCCAGGGCAGGAGGTTTTTTTGAAGTCTTTGCAGTAAACTGAGCTCCAAGCTCTCTAGCTTACCTTAGTAACTGTATCCACTTCTACCTCCATTAGCCTGGGGGGATAAACAGACTGGGTGTTCCATGGCACCCTGTCAAGCTAAGCATATCCATAACTGAGTTGAAGCCCAGCTTTTGAGAAGATAATGATGACAGTACAATTGTTCATGTGTAGGTGATAGAGGAGAGAGACTCTGAGGCAACAGTGACTGACATTACTGTGGTATGATGGAGTCTGGCCCTCTGTTTTTTCAACTTGTCAAAGAAATATGTGGTGTCTCCTTTTCCATATATAATTGTCATTGACTCTTCTGGGGCACTAGCTGTCTGCCACGTGCTCCTCTTTTCCAAGATACTAACAATACATAGAGACTGTATCTGGCTCTAGCTGGATTTGAGGTGAACTGACAACTTGAGATTTTTGCAGCAGTTTTGTTGATGTAAACCAATAATCTTTTTTGACAGTCTGAACACACTTCTTATACACAGAATTCAAATCTCCCTGAAATGGGTGGCCCTGCACCCTCAAGGGATTTGTTGCACCCTTCTCCCAGTTCACATTAGGGACTCAAGTTCTGTTCAGTACATACTTTCCAGTCATGACCTTAATCCTGGGTCAGGCTTTTGCAGCCTTGTGTGTCCTACAGCATGTTGAGCAGCTAAAACGTTGACCTGATCTTTGCTAGGTTCATTGCATATTTCTGTCTTTTCAGAGTTCACCCAAGGCATGATTTTACCTACAGTAAATGGGGAGCAAACAGAGCCAGCTCCTCAGTTGGCAGCTAAAGCAGAAGAGAACAAGGTAAATAAAACCTCCCATAGATGTTCTTGAAGTCCTGGAGAAAGGAGCAGCATGTTAGGTGCATCTGATGTGTGTGATAGGTCAAGCTGCCTACTTAGACTCTACAGTATCTTCAGCAGTGGATGCAGTCTGTGATTGCTGGCCTGGGTATTTGAATTTGCAATGTGGGATGTTCCCTAACTCAAATCTAGTATAGTCAGTAACAAGGCTTAGTGTTAAAACTTCTTGTATTCCATGAAGCATAGTAGCTCCTAAATAAATTTTCCAAGATCCTCATTCTTTTTCTTTAAGTGTGTTATCAACTGCATTTATTTGAGGGTTCTGGGAAATAAGATGTTTATAAAGTGCTGTGTAAGCACTAAGCATATAATTCAACATTGTGCTTCTTAATGTTTCCTTAGACCACTGCTAGTACTGTCACTGCAGCGCCTGAGTCAAAACCCATAGGCGTCAAGATTCCCACCTGTAAGATCAGTTTGAAGGACATTTTCTTAACATCTCCTGAGGAGCTCTACAGAGTGTTCACTACACAGGAGGTAAACCAGCATGGTCGGGGAGATGGGCCCAGGAGAGTTGGGAGTAGTACACTTCTGTGTGTAGAACAGCTTAGACTCAAGCTGCTCAGGAGTGATTTGGCAGCAGATGCCTCCTCTGGGGAAGAGAGACCTCCCCACCCACAAACCACTTGGTGTTGACTCTCTTGCCAGGTCAGGAGTAGAGGGGGCAGTGTCCTGGCCTCCTGAAAGTAATCATCAAGCACATAGTCTGTTGTGGTGGGGAGGAATGGCATACTAGACAAGAGACTGTACTATAGGGCTGGTCTTAACTGTCTCTAAACAACTTTCCTATGTTGGCTGCCATAGATGAGTTAAACCACAGGAACTGCCAATTTATAAGTGTTCACTCTCCCTGCATGGTTTACAAGGCTGTTGATGCCAGCCTACCTCCAGTCCTCTCTCTGCAGGGAAGCAGCCCTAGCGGTGGCATTGCCTATGGCAATAAGCATGTGGGGTCTCTGTAGGACCCAGTAGCCGGTTCTGTTTCTGGAAAATCACATCCCGCTCCCTGAGAGCCAGGCTTTAATTGGGGATCACCAGTTCACATGAGAGTGTCTTGGGGAATAATGTTACAGGCACATGGGAGAAACTGGTAGAAAGGGCATAATGAGAGCTAGGGGCCCTCTATAGATCTGGCATGTCCCCTGTCCTGTGAAAAGCAGGCAAAACACGTCAATGGAGTGCTGGCATTACATGCCTCAGAGCACAAATCCTGCTTTCCTGCCTCTGAGGGAGCTTTTCCTCGGTCCGCATCCCCATGGAGCTCTTCAGAAATGGGCTAGAAAGTGGAGATGCTGCTCCGTTCCCCCATCCTCAAAATGCAGACCCTAAGCTTTCAGCCAAGCGCTTATTCCAGAGAGCCCAGTGCTCTTGTGCTGGGGTGGGAGGCATTAAGCAGCAGCAACTCCCCTACCAGCAGGTTTCAGAACAGGTGGTGCAGGTTATAGGGAGAAGGTTGTGGTGCTTCCAGTAACATGAGTCCTGCAATGTCACAAGGCCTGTCTCTCTGCAGCTGGTCCAGGCTTTCACCCACGCGCCGGCAATCATAGAGGCTGATAAAGGAGGGAAGTTCCACTTGCTAGATGGCAGTGTCAGCGGCAAGTTCATTGATCTAGTGAGTACCAGCTGCTGCAGCTGTATCTTGTTCAGAAGGAGCCTTGGTAGCCAAGTCACACCTTCCCTGCAGTCTTTTATCCGTCTGCTCTGTACCTCATATCTAGAGCCCTGCGCAGATACAAAAATTTGGATCCGCATCCGATCCGCAAAGATGGTAAACAATACAACCGCATCCACAGATGCAGCTATCCGTGGATTTGTAGGGCTCTATTCATCTCCCTGATTGAAACTCCTTCCCTCATGACTGCCATTCTCCTACAGTCACCCTTGTTAATTAAGGTCTTCTTCATTTCTGGGAGCTGAGAGATCTGGCTTCTATTCCTAGCTCTGTGACCTTGGATAAGTTCAAGTCATTCCACCTCTGTGTCTCTCCTCCCACTCGTTGTCTGTCTTGTCTATGTAGATTGCAAGCTCTTTATGGCAGGGACTCTGTCTCATTATGTTACTACAGCTCCCAGCATAATGGGTCTCAGATCTTAGGGCCTCATTATAGTAACACCTAGTATATAAATAGACGTGGAGCATTCAGAACTCAATCCCCATAAGGATTGTATATGGGGGAGATAATACTTTGATTCAGTGTTGTGGCAGCAATAGTATCTCTCCTCCCCTCAGTGCTTCAGCCTAACGGGGCCCAGCATTCACATAACAGGATACAGAGACTCTAAGAGTCCCTCTCCCTCTAGTTTTGCTTTCTGAGAGTCTCTGAAGTGAGTCTGAAGCTTTGGGTCATGCTCAGTTCTGAGCATTGACTAACATGGTATGGAGCGGGATTGGGAGGGCAAACGGCTCCCATTCATTCCTTTCTCTTTACCTAGGTCCCTGAGAAGCAGATTGTTATGAAGTGGAGATTTAAATCTTGGCCATCTGGTAGGTACCTTGAAGAACCAGACTGCAGAGTTCCAGCCCTTGCCTGTAACTGAATGAATCCTGCCATGGCTGCACACTGGCTGGTTTGACTGGGGGTGGTTCTCTAGGTTGCACTATCTGCTTGGTGATCATAACACCACAGTAACCCTGGGCCGTATTGCTTCCTGGGCAAATGGATGGACTGGGAACACTGCAGAAGCACCATGCTCTGCCTCAATGCTGTCTGCCACAACCCCTTTGGCAGTCTTGCAAGCAGTGTTGAGGGGGACACTCTCCCTCCTCCTCTGCGTGGAAGGAAAGCAACTGTCGTGCAAGACATGAGGGAGGGGGTTGTGCACCAGGGAAAGGTTTTGGGAGGGGTTCTGAGCCCTTTGGTGATGGGACGGGCGTGCTGATCTCTCCAGCCATGTTGGGTGAGGATGTGGCTGTGCTGTCCAGGGCTTGTGCCTTATTGCCCGGTGCTGATGTGTGGATTTCCTTCGGCTTTTCTAGGGCACTTTGCAACTGTTACCCTGAACTTCACTGATAAAGGTGGCGAGACAGAAGTGCGCTTGGAGGGGAAGGGCATCCCTTCCAGTGAGGAGGAGAGAACAAAGCAAGGGTGGCAGCGCTACTACTTTGAGGGCATTAAACAGACGTTTGGCTATGGTGCCCGCTTGTTTTAACATCGGCTGCTGGGGAGAGTCTCTGTCCGAAGATTCTGCTGTGTGGACTGATTGCTTCTCGTCTGTTCCTTTCTTTTTTGGTGCCGCTGCTGTGAAGAGCGGGATGAGGAAGGCAACTGAGCAGCACTGCTTGTAGCCCCTTACTGCTTTGTGCATGTCTCTTGCCACAAGGGAGTCAATGAGGGGTTCTCTTACATGTACATACTTTTATTGCTAAATAAACGTAATTTAAAAAACAAAGGGAGATTCTTTCAATTGAGTGTGAGATTAGACAGTTTGGGGCCAGACTGGCAGGGATGTATCTGGAAAGGTGCTGCTCATGGAGATGAGCACCAACCTCAGCAGGAGTTACTTGTTCATGCTTTAGGAACAGGGACCAACTCCACAGCAAGTGTACAGTATTAGCTCAAGGCAGCAAGCTTCAGCGAGTCCAGTGATCCTCTAGGCCTGCTACCGGTAAACAGCAATGGACCAAATGCCAGGGAGGGAGTGTTTAAAACCCCCTCCTGTTTCCTCTTCAGGAAGCCCCTCCCTGCACACACTCCCAGGCTAGTCTCACCCACTCACTAGGCTGGCCTGCTTCATGAGAATGGACATCACTTACTGTCCAAGAAAATCAGTAACTCTCCAGCTCTTCCAAACCACAGCTAGGAAAACTCCCCCCTCAAAGAGGATGGGGAATGGGTGTGGAGCTTGGGCCAAAGCAAACTGCTGGCTCTAGCACTGGTGCTTGGGGAGCAGTGGAGGAACAGCAGTGGGGTAGGGCCTGTTCCCAAGAGGATACCACAACGGGGCAATGCCCCAGGCTTGAACTGCACTAGCTCTGCTAATTCTAGGGGTGGGGAAGAGAGAACTACCTGTGGGTTTTAACTATGGCATCAGTCAGGAAACTGAAGGTCTCTTTTTGCCTCAGAACAGGGTGAGCTTCTCCCATATATCTCTCTACTGCCAACGCTACTCCCCCCAGTGTCCTGGAAGGAACAGAGCCCTACTACATCCCCCCTGAGCTCTGGCAGAGATGTAACCAATGGCCCCATGCAGAGAGTCATGCAATATTAGAGGGGGGTAGGAGGGGACTTTTTATTCTGCTAGAGGCTGTTTGTACTTCTGTGGTAGTCTGTACTGTGACTGCCCCCTCTAGATCTTATTCCTACAATAATTAGTGTCTTCCTCCGATCATTTCTGCTACTCCCTTTGTCTTGGACATGCAAGCACAAAATTCAAGGGGAGGTTGTGCCACTGATCCCTTTGTGCAGCCTTGTCTGTCTTGTTCAAAAACAACATATGTAAATGGGTGACTTTTGTTTTCCAAGACAGCACTGCTGATAATAGACTGCAATAGGCTAACATTAGCAGATCCCTCCAACAGCAATGGGAAAACTCACAGGCAGAACCTGTGATGGGAGGAAAGTGATGCTGATTATTGTAGCATCAAGTTGACTCAGTCTGAACATATCCTCACTAGGGATGTGCTAGCTATACACCCAGCTGACCACGGGGTGGCAGCACTGCCCCCCAATAAAGTAGGATTTGATCATAACAGCTGGATATGGAGCACCACAAGGCAGGCTGCTCTAATCACCTGCCACTGCAGGGTTAGGAAGTGGAGAAGAGGGCAGCAGCTGGAGTGGAATTTTAATTGCTCTCTTCTTCACAAACCCCAGTTTGCTTTGGGAATCCTGCTACTGCCATAACAGAATGGCCCATAGACAACTCCTGTGGGACAGGCAGCCCACAAGCACAAAGACCATGGAAGCAGAGTGTCTTGCTCAGAGGCTGTTAAGAAAGACTAAGTTAGTGCACAGCTGCAAAGTTTCCTGCCTGGGCACAGTCTGATTGATTGCACTCAGCAAAGCAACACAATTGTTCATTTAAAACACTGGAACATTGCCACAGCTGGAGCAGTGCAGGTGCCAGTGATGAACCCCAGGCCCTGCCAAGGGATATGAAAGGAGCCTAAGTCACTGAATGAATTATTGCTGTGAATGGCATGAGGTCAAATCTGTATCCTCCCATTTGCAGATGCTGTCATTCTCTGTGAGGCTTTTCCCCAGCATACTAGGTCATATTAAACCCTACCACAACAAAACAGTCCGTGTAACCGCAATGCTCAAAACCTGCCCATGGGGCAGACCCTCAGCCTGCATACAAAAAACCAAGGACAATGATTTGACATAAATCAACATCAGGGATTAAAAGGTAACAGGACCCTTATTTCAGCTCAGCATAGGAGGGTTGGGATATTTTAGAGATGGCTTGCCATTAATTATGGAAAAGCCCAGTGGCCTGGCAGGTCCAGGGCCAAGTCTTACATCTTATCTTTCTATGTGGATGTTTGTTATTGCCATCCTCTGTGATGCCTCCTGGGATGCAGTCCACACTCCTTAGGGGCACAGTGAAGGCTGATTGCTCTGCCTGAGGCTTGCATAGCCCTCAAGTTTATTTCATTTCAGTGATTAAAGCCTCTCTTGGGAAGCCACCATCCCACAAAGACCAGGGGCCTTCCCACAAGTACCCTTGAAGAATTGTAAGCTCAGTGCCCCAGCCCTGGAGTGCTGTTTAGGTGGAGGTGAATGCTGCCACAGTTGCTTTAAGCAATTCAGAGATGGCACATTGGAGATTAGCCTAAAGAAAAATTAAGGGGGTTTCTCCACCCTCTCAGCCTGAATTTTTTACCTGGCCAGGCTTACACACTCAGACTCAAGTCTAGCTAGCAGGGTTTAGGTACAGCCCCAAGCATGCTCATTTAACTCCATTCAGTGCTGTACTAACCACCCTTTCCGAGCGATGGAGGGCATGGCTGTGCTGCAGAGGCTTGGGGCTCTCACCTCCCCGTGGCTCTCAGTTCTGGCTCCATGGATATAGGCTCAGGCATTTCACGCCTAGGGAGGAGAGCCTGGAGAGGCTCTAGCCATACATTCTCCACCTTGGTAGGCAACAGCGATGCCCTTCCCTGAGGAAAACACTCCCCACCTCCAGCCCGCCACACTTACCCCTGCCAGCAGCTGTGCCTCACAGCAATAGTAGTAGGGGTAGGTGAGTGCCTAGAGTCAGACTGCAGCCTCTGCCTGTGGGGAGTGAGAGCATGCAGCTCCCCGGGGCAGCTGAGTGCTGGGCTGAGGCCTGGGTTCCCAGGTGGGTGGGGAGAGGCAGGCTCTTGGCTCCCTCCCAGACCAGTACTAACTCTTCAAACCCAGGCTGGATGCCTGTGGGGAGCACCAGAAATCCCCTCAGCGCAGCAGCAACTCAGCGCCCCCTCCTGGTGTGCTGCAGGAGCAGCAGGCAGGGGTGTGTCCCCTCATCTCGCCTAGCAGCACAGGGGGCACAGAAAGCCAGTTCAGCTGCTGCTGCAATGCTGAGATGCACACGGCAGGGGCAGGGCACCTGCCCAAGTGAACAGCACCCGGCTCAGTGAGGCTGGAGCAAGCTGTGCCAGCATTAACACTTTGGGGTAGGCTTGAGCAGCTCCCACCCCACCCTATCCCCCCCCCCCCATGTAACCAATTCCTCGCAAGAGAGCCTCGGTTCCGGGATGCCTGGGCTGGGCTGAGGCTAGAGGGGAGGGCTTGAACCTCTGCGCCGCACTCCAAGCTCCACTCATTCACTCTATGGGCCAGACTGAGGGATCGGAAGCACTCTCCCGCTGCTGGTTCCTTTCACCTGGCTCAGTTACATCTTCAAGGCTCCTGGCAAGGAAAAGGGCTTGAGCCTTGGGAGGGGGGTTCCCCCTTCCAGCTCCTCAGGGCTCTCTGCCTGCAGCGAAGTAACAGCTGAGAAGCCCCCAGCAACCTGTCGCTGCCGTCCCCAGGTGCCTTGCAGAAAGAAACCCTTCTCCCCGCGCTGCTGAAGTTTAAAGCCACGTGGCGTAGAGCAACTTGCCTGAGGCTTGGAAGCTGCAGCCCCGAGCTGCTGCCGCTCGCCCCACTGACATGCAGCCCGCGCGGCTTCCTGTCACTCCCAGCACCCGCGGGCCCTGCCTCTCTGCAGCAGAGCCCCACCCGTCCCTGCCGGGCATGCTCAGGCATGGGAACGAGGGGATGCCGTGCAGCTGCGCATGGCTCCTACACCTGGCTGCGGCAGTGCTGACACACACAGGCGGGTCTCAGAGCAACTGCACGACAGTCAGTCAAGGGCACCGCCATGCAGTTACTGGTGTGGGGAGGAGAAGGTGCTTGTGCCCCTGGTTGGTGTTGGGAGTGGGGTTTCTCAAATGGCTGCAGGAGCAAGAGAAGACACGGGGTCTAGCTAGAAGGGGCCCATTGGAGCAGAAAGCCCTTTATCCCTGAGGCTTCGTTCACACAGCTGTTCATCCAGACGAGCTGTAGCTGCATTTACCACAGAGCTTGGCTACGGCTGAAGATATGAAGAAGCACCTGGCATTGGCCACTGTCAATTACAGGATAGTGGGCTAGGGAGACCATTGGTCTGACCCAGCATGACTGTTCTTATAAGGCTGACTATGAGCCAACAATGTGATGCGGCTCTGAAAAAGGCTAATGCAAGCCTAGGATGCATCAGGCGAGGTATTTCCAGTAGAGACAGGGAAGTGTTAGTACCATTGTACAGGCACTGATGAGACCTCATCTGTAATGCTGTGTGCAGTGCTGGTCTCCCACGTTTAAGAAAGGTTAATTCAGATTCAGAGAAGGGCTACTAGCTGACCCGAGGAATGGAAAATCTACCTTATGAGAGGAGACTCAAAGAGCTTGGCTTATTTAGCCTAACCTAAAGAAGGATGAGGGGAGATATAAATACATCAGAGGGATATAAATACATTCAGAGGGAATACCAGGGAGGGAGAGGAGTTATTTAAGTTAAGCACCGATGTGGACACAAGAACAAATGGATATAAACTGGCCATCAACAAGTTTAGGCTCGAAATCAGGAGAAGGTTTCTAACCATTAGAGGAGTGAAGTTTTGGAGCAGTCCTTCAAGGGGAGCAATGGGGGCAAAAAACCTAACTGGCTTCAAGACTGAGCTTGATAAGTTTATGGAGGGGATGGTATGACAGGACTGCC